ATAAAATTTTAAATTCCGCTGTAAACTCTGTTCCGTACGGTATATCGAACCCAACAGGGCTATCTTCGAAAACCCCTCAATGAACCTCCTGTAGTAGCCTGCTAACCCGAGAAAACTCTGTATCTCGGTAACAGACCTAGGTGCTGACCAGTTCCTCACTGCCTCGATCTTCCCCGGATCGACCTCAATGCCCTCGGCTGTAACAATGTGACCGAGGAACGCCACTCGATCGAGCCAAAACTCGCACTTCGAGAACTTGGCGTACAGTCTCTCCCGCCTAAGAGTCTCCAACACGATCTTCAAATGCTCCTCGTGCTGGGCTGTGCTCCTCGAGTAGACCAAAATGTCATCTATGAAGACGATGACAAACTGGTCCAAGAATGGGTGGAAGACACGGTTCATGAGATCCATGAATACCGCCGGCGCATTGGTCAAGCCGAACGGCATCATGACAAACTCATAGTGACCGTATCGGGTACGAAACGCGGTCTTCGCCACGTCAGACTCCCGAATCCTCAACTGATGGTAACCCGAACGAAGATCTATCCTGGAAAACACACGGGCACCTCTCAGCTGGTCGAATAAGTCCTCTATCCTGGGGAGTGGATACTTGTTCTTCACCGTCAACCGGTTCAAGTCCCGGTGGTCGATGCACATGCGCAGTGTCCCGTCCTTCTTCTTCACAAAAAGGACAGGTGCTCCCCAAGGTGAAACGCTCGGCCGGATGAAGCCGAGACCCAACAACTCCTGAATCTGAGCCTTCAACTCCTGAAGCTCCTTCGGCGCCATACGATACGGCGCTTTCGACACTGGCCCAGCTCCAGGCAACAGGTCGATCGTGAACTCCACCTGACGGCTAGGTGGTCCTCCCGGTAGCTGATCCAGAAAAACATCCACGAAATCTCTCACTATGGGTACATCTCCGGGCATGCGCTCCTCCGAAGGTTCCCCGAGTATAGTGACTAGATAGCCCTGACAATCATCCCTCCGTAGGCACTTAGTCACCTTCGCCATGGAAATGATACGCGGTAAAGTCCTCGTCCTCGTCCCGAAGAATGTGATGTGGTCTCCATCGGCTAAGTGCAACGTCACCTCTCTATCACGGCATCAGATGTCTGCGTGATATCTCTCCAACCAATCCATGCCGAGAATGAGGTCAAAGTCCCTCATCTCGATCACGAATGCGTCTACCACTAGAGTTCTGCCTCCAATACACATGCTAAGGTTCTTGGCCAGGGAACTCGTGACTATCTTCCTCCCCGAAGCTAGGCTGATCTCGAGGGGGTCGACGTCACTCACACCCTGGACCCCTATGGCCTCTAGACACTTGGTCGAGACGAACGAATGTGTCGCCCCGGTATCGAACAAAGAAAAGACAGGTACATCGAGTAAAGAGAGCATGCCAGACATGGTACCTGGCTGCTCGGCGGCCTGCTCCTGGTCAAGTGCGTAAATGCGGGCAGGTGCACCTCGAGGTGGGTGCTGAGCTGGCTGTCTCGGTGCTGGATGTCTCTGAGCTGGCGGTCTCTGGCCCTGCTGGGGTTGTGGGCGATCTGGGCAGTCTGCGATCCTATGACCGGGCCTGCGACAACGATAGCAAATGTCC